TTTTCCATGGAGACTCCCAGGGTGGGACTGCAGCAGGTGGCCCTGACCCCCATTTTCTACTCCAGAAGGTGCTTCTGGACTCCCGATGGTTTGCCACAGCTCGACAAGACTCGACTGACCACTTGCTCTGCCGTCCATTTGCAGTTAGGCTTGTGCCCCGTATTTCCATCCACCATCACCTCGCTGCTTTCTAGGGTAGGGAGAACCGTCACTTTCTTGATTTGATCTTCAGCTTCTGGCCCACCTGTTGAAAGAACCATCTACAAGGCCAATTTAAACCATGTGCGCCTGACTCTGGGTTTGCATTATAGGATTGTTGTCTACCTCCTCCTCTCTTAATTTAAAGCGCCCCCCACCCCCCCAATCTCACTGCCTGTTCTTGCTGGACTTTCTTTACATGAGGCACTTCCAGAGCAGGAGCTTCGTTCCTTGCTTCCGTCCACATATATTCTCAGCAAGCACCCACTCTGTTCCAGACGTCTGTCCTCAGAAAGCTTGTATTCTAGTTTAAGGTGATTTTACAGGTGAACCTGCACAGATATACCATTAAGGAAAAACCAAGTGGTTGTCTCCAAAGCCCCTCAAAAACTAAATCATCATTGAGTCCGTTCCAACTCATACTAATGCTGCCAAGGCAGCATTTCCAAGGCTGGACACCTTCATGGGAGCGGACGGCCTCCTCTTTCTCCTGCACGTAGCTGGTGGATTTGAACCGCCCAGCTGGCAGAGGGCACCCCGACACTTAACCGATACCGCCACCAGGATTCTTACTGGGGGTAAAGAACATTGCAATATCAGTCTGGCTAGACCAGAGGAAGTACACTGGTACAGATAGGAACTGAAAATACAGGGAATCCGGGACGGATGAGCCCTATAGGACCAGTGGTGTGAGTGGCAAAACAGGGAGGGTAAAGGGAGAATGGGTAGGAAAGAGGGAACCGATTACATGGAACTGTGTGTGACCTCCTCCCTGGGGGACAGACAACCGAAAAGTGGGTGAAGGGAGACGTCGGGACAGGGGAAGATATGAGAAAATACCCATTTATAAACTATCAAGGGCTCATGTGGGAGGGGGGAGCGGGGCCGGGGGTTTAAATGGAGAGAAAATGTTTTGAGGAACGATGTACAAATGCGCTTTACACAATTGATGTGTGTATGGATTGGGGTAACAGTTGTATGAGCCCCTAATAAAATGTTAAAAAAAAAACATTGTAATATCTGCACACATGCTATATGATAGCACATTTTTTAAATGACCATTTTTTGTGCTATTTTTAATCAAAACATTTGGAATACTCTAGGACTGTTTAGGAAGTGCCCTGGTGGCAGAGCGGTTTTATGCATTGGGCTGCTAATGCAAAGTCAGCACTTCAAACCCTGAGCCACTCTTCAGGGGAAAGATGAAGCTTTCTACTTCTGTAAAGCTTTATAGTCTCGGGTCCACAGGGGCAGTTCTAACTAACAAATAGGATTGCTATAAGTCACAATAGACTGGATGGCAGTAAGGTTTATTTTTTGGGGGTGGGGAGGAGGTGAGGACTGATGAAGATTCTAGTATCTAGATTAGGAGCCTGAGAAAGCATCACAATGCAATGCTTATATCTGGATTCCAAACAGAAACAGCTACCAAGGACATTCAGGAGATTTTCATTTAGATTGCAAGACAAGATCAGTTAAATGCTGGACTACTAACAAAAAGGCTGGCAGTTCGAACCCATTCAGAGGTACCACTGAAGACAGGCTGGCCGATCTGCTTCTGCAATGCTACAGCCTTGCAAACCCCACGGAGAGTACTTCTGCTCTGCCACACATGGTTGGAACTGACGCCTTGGAATGGAACTTGACTTCTTCTGCAGTGGAGCCTCAAGTAGTGCCTTTTTTACCAAGATCTCTGTATACCATGGTTATTAGAAAATGCTCTGAAATCCTGGATGTGAAGGGCGAACAGTCAAATAGTTCAGAAAAAGCCCGGCCACCGACAGGAAGCCGTGAGCCCGGCAAGAAGGTAGCAACTCGAAACAGGGTCCCCAAGTCCCACTGACTCCACGGCAACAAGTGGGAGTCAGAGGGACCTGGGTGTTCATGATGTTCTTTCTTCCTCCCTCTGCAGCTTTGAGATTTTGTAATCCACACAGTCAGGAAAATAAATTAGAAAAAGGGGTAGGCGGAGGGGCAATTGTCACCAGATGGGTTTTAAGGAAAAGTAAAGAATTCACAAATAAGTTCTGAAACCAAACACAAATTCTTTTATTTGCAGAACATCAATTCTATTAAGCCCTAAAACCAGTTGGTGTACTTGTTAGGTGGCATCATAGTATTGTAGTTAAGCCGGGAGTCACAGGACTTGCACAACTTTGATGAATGTAATGCAAATACTGACGACACGAAGTGTTCACAGTTACAGGTTAGTTGCTGCTCATTTAAGGGAGCCCCTCTCGCCCCCCAATAGAAAATATTTTAGGGGGAAAAAAAGCAAAATCCAACATTTTGGTCTCATTTACAGACACCCAACATTTTAGTTGGTTGATGAAGTCTATACATTATACAACATGACAGGATATGGGATAAGGCTTACAGAGGTATTTCAGCAGTTGTAAGAATTAAAACCAAGGGAACAAACGAACTTTAAAAGCTTCTGTATAAACTTCAAAAGTACTGTGGAAGTGGAGATTAAGGGGCTACAGAAATATGTCAGCTGAACTTGAATCTCGGTCTAGTCCAATTTATAAATCCTTAATTCAGAGTTCAAGCTTCCAAAATGGTTTGTAGGAACGGTATGGTGGGGGGTTGTGGCAAATCACAAGAGGAGGTTTCTGACCTAAGTGCTGTATTGTTATGACAGCATTGCCACGTGGAGTTCAAACCCAAGGGGCAGGGAGAGGAAGGGGTTGGATCTAGCTAGGACTCAGGACCCAGACCCTAGGTCACGTTAGCTGGCAGAGAACTAATTATGTGGTGACCGTTGCCCAGTTTTGTGTTGCTCATGTTTGAGAAGTGTCTTCTTATTCTGTCAGGCCCCCCTTTCCCTCGGTTTACAAAGAACCACACACATCTAGAAAACCCAATGCAAACGGCCGGGAACCTATTCGCCTGAGAGTTCCTTTTCCAGGGAGCTGAGCGATTATCCCTTTGGTACTCTTACTTCACACGTCATGAACCGGCCTGTGCCTGGGCTTTGTGCCAGTTCACTGCAATGCTGCCTGGGTAGAGCTTTACTCCCCCCCCCACCCCTCGCAGCCATCTTTTTTATTGCAGGACTACGTGTGCCTAGTGTTTAAAAAGCACTCCTCAGATTCTACAACCACTTGCTAAAATATTTCATCTTTGATTTAGGTCTGCTTTAAGCAACACGGCAGTTGACCCATCTTTAAGGATTGTTGCTTTTAAAATGCCATCTCTTAACTTAGTGGGGAATGATTTAGGAAGGGCTAAGTTCTCTACACATCCCACACAGCCGTTGGGATCCAGACGCACCATGGCGAGCACTCTCACCAGCTGGGGCCGTCCGTCAAATGCTTGGTATTCTTCTCAGCGAGCACTTTGTCCAGGCTGAGTCTGCAGACGGGGAATGCTTAGAACTGCTTAGGCATGAGAGCGGTCAAAGCTTCTGGCCCATTTCACAGCAGACCAAACCTTCCTACTCTGGTCTGAGGAAGGAAGGGGCTGCCCTCCGCCAGACCATGTCACGTATGCACACGTGCTCACTGTATGCACAAAATCTGTCTGGGGTGGCTGGCTGGCTCCCTTGGGGAAAACAAAACTAAGACTGAAAACCTGAACCCTGCTGGCAAAGAAGTGTGTGACTGTGGCCTGCTGCTGTCCTCGCCGAGCGCCATCTGAGGCTCACCCTTCATCGCAAGGGCCTGAGGGGGGAGGGGTGCATACGTCCAATTCATCTCTTCTAATTCTTTCATGTCCAATCGTGGTCTTGATGGCACCTACCGCATCTGTTCGTTCCAACGGCTCAACTGTATGGTGCGCTCTGACTACATACAATCATCAGCATTGTGTGTGTTGTTTTAGGGGCTGAGCAAGGTCTTCTATAGCACCAGGTAGCTGAAGAAAGCACACGTGACCTGTGGACACATCTTCCCAGGGAAGAGTAAGGCAAAAAAACAGACGAAGCCAACCACCACCAAAGGACGAGCCGAAAACACCATCCTGCTCGCCACGCCCCCCCCCCACGCCCCCTGGAGAAAGCCTTGCTGCACAAGTCCCCCAGCCAGTGACGGAGGCCTCCCCAGGGAAGGGCCACCCCCACGCTGGAGCTGAGTCATGCTGGTGTTTCACGGCCACTGCCCACAGTAGACATCCTGCCAGGAAGAGCCCAGCACGAGAGAAACACAGGGAAGAACCAAGGCATAAAGCAGAACCTCTCACTTAGGGTATTGTATCTTTCCAAAACACGAAAAATAAATACCTAAAACACGCCACCACGTTAAGCCAGAGAGGCAAGATGGTGCCGGTAGTTTGAATGGCCAGAAAACCGGGAGGTTTTCCTGGAGGAGGGCATGGAAAGCCACAGCAGACCCAACTCGGAGGGCAGCAAATCGAAAAATTCCCCTTAAACCCCATGAAAAGAAAGGTGCAATTTTATTTCATTTGCTTGTACCCAGAACCAAACTACTCTAATTGTAATGTTAGGTACCTCGCCGAGGGACGGTGGAAATGGCCGGTGTGCAGCCTGGGACCGGCCACGTGCCCAGCACTCTCAGCCGTGTGTCAGATGCTACTTGGGCGAAGGAGAACCACAGGGCATTTGGCGTATGTTACTGAGAAGTTAGTAACTCCTTCCTTCCTCCTTCCCCAGACTGGGCCACGTAAGCAACCAGTTCCATTTCTGGCCTGTTTGCTCCTGGTAACCATTGTTCCGGCTCGCTTTCCAAAATGCTACAGTGGAGACCAAATGAGATCTAGCAGGCTCGTTTGTTTGGGGGTGAAAGAAAAAAGAAGGGGGGAGCCTAGAAATATGCCACAAAATTATTTGTACAATACACTTGTGCAGAAATAATCTCTCGGTGAAGCAGTTTCTTTTTATACACATGTACAAAATTTAAACAGCAATATACACATAATCACAGTGAGGACGCTGGCAAGTTCACCAATCGGTAGTGTGAATACAAACTGCAAAGCAGCCTCCCAAGAGAACGATGCCACACAGTAAGCAGAGCTGGCCCGTCGGTCGCGAACCCCGAGCGTCCCTGCAGGAGGAAGGCCGTGCCAGGGGAGCAGCATGCGCGTCGAGACAAACAGCAATTTATGGCTAATGGCTGACAGAACAGCGGGAACAGTGACTCTCGCGCTGAGGCACATCCGGTCCTACGACATCTGCTTGTCTTTGTACCATTCCACGAACTCGTCCAACAAAACTGGCCCTGAGGAGAGGGAGAGAGAAGACAGCGGGACGGTGAGGCCTGACGGCCTGCCTTTCGGGAGGAGGAGGGCAGCCGGGGAGGAGGGGCCAGCACAGTACTTACAGGCTCCATCCTCGTCGTAGTTGCTGAGGTCAAGGTTAATGGTTCTGCTGAACTCTAGCACATTGCACCACTGGTCTTTGTTAATAACTTTGTATTTTGATTGCTGGTGGAGGGAAAAGTAGCATGAATTACTGACACTGGAAATCAACAAACAGGAGTGTTTCAATTGCCATCGGAAGCAGCTTTGTCCCGTTCAAGGGCAGTTGGCTCTTCCGGTTGGAGGGGAGTTAGGTGCCAAGTGAAGATGGTGAGAGGGAGCGGAGCCAACTCTCTGGTGACAATGCGTCATTACAAAAATTCCATGGGAACGCAAAATAAAATGGCAAGCACTTCTAGAAAGGGAATTTTCTATCCCTTCAAGTGGTCTGCGTTGGCTGCAGGCATCAAGGAGATCACTGCTGATGGATCCCTGGGAAGCCCTGCCCCAGGGGAACCAGCCCTGCTCCCTGCGGGTCAGTCAACAAGCACTTACTAAGTGGCCCGAGTGGTCTTAGAACCTGGTGCTCGGGCCTTTGAAGAAACTGACCTGTCTAATCTGATCACTCAAAACTCAAATCTGATCACAGAAGCAGCTAAAATGGCCTCCCAGCAGTGTTGCGACTCCTCTTCGGGGAGAAACAAGCCACACGGACATTTCAAAACACAGCCGCCCCGCAGGAAAGTGTCAGTAAAACGGAACTTGGAACCAAGAACCTGAACCCTCATCACTCAAATCAGGCACATAACTGACACAATACAAGTAGGTACATAAAAAGCAAAGAGGACTCAAGCCAATGGGTTTCAGGATCCAAACACAAGCGGAAACCAAGAAACCAAAGGATGATGGTCCCCTTTAAAAGAAAAATGCAAGTAATGTAAGCAGTTGGAAAGGAGAGAGACCAAAGCACAGATCACAGGCTGAGCTTCCTGAGCCATTCAAAGCAAAAGCCAGTCCCTGGAAGCGTTGCTGATCCTCCTGCAATCCTGCCAAGTCAAACTGGCACAGGCAAGGCCTTCCAGCCGCCAAGGAAGGCTTTGCTTCCCATTCCAGGGCTGCTAAGGTCTCTGGGAACAAGAATCTACTTGGATTCATGATCGACTGGGCTGACTGATCTCAGAGGTCGTCCCAGAGATAAGCACGGTTTACTTTTAGATACAGCCAGTCTGTCGTACAAATAAGCAGCTCCTCAACTACAACCCGCTTTTGTGCGGTTTCTGAGAAGTTCCCGTGAGTAATGTGAAAAGCAAGTTCTGATAGCAGTCCTCAACACCTGCACTGGCTGAGAGCAAGGTGAGTATTTCAAGAGTGGAGCCGGAGTCAGGGTCGGTGCAATACTCTGAGCAGCCTTCCTGTCGAGCAAAGGGCCTTTGTGACACAGGGCCGGGGCAGGAGGGCGATGAGGACGTCACACGTGACAACCGTAGCAAACTCGCATCTGCGGTCCTTCCAACACTGATTACATTTCACCCCACACCAGGCTCAAAGCCCTCCAAAAGCAATACTTACAGTAAGCCACCCACCCAGGATGGGCTCGCCCCTGCCCGGTTTCTAATGCAGACATGAAGAAAAGGCAAGCTGAAGGCTACAGGGCCATTTTGCCTAGCATTTAAACTGGGGCCGAAAGTCGAAGGCACTTGGAAAAAAGAGCCAATGAGAACAGACTGTTGTTAGGAGCCATCGAGTCAGTTCCAACCCACAGAGTCTGTGCACAATCGTTCCTATGCCCGAGTGCATTGCAGATTACAACCTCACAATTCCTTATAATAATCCAAGAAGGCAGGCAGAGGGCAGTTTTTGTTCGTTTCTTAAAACTTATGCTTAATAAAAACAGGAATCTGTTTAAAGCTACATAAGTAAGTATTGTTATAAAAAGCAGTGTATTTAAAGCGAACTCCAACAGGGGGATGAGAAAGGACAGGAGAGGGTGGAGAAGACAGAGCCGGGGCGGCTTCAGAATCGGTTTTACACGGAATGACTTGACACAACAGGGAACACACGCAGACACACTTAGAGAATGGGCGGCTGCTGGGTGGCCATGACGTCGCCGTGAATTCCTACAGGCAGAAAAGCACAGCAAGCAAAAATGGTAGACTGTGGTTACATAAGTGACTGTGGTAGCTCTAAGCAAGTAAACACATACATTTCATAAAATAACAATTTGGTACCTCTAAGAATTGGTGAAAAACTGGAAAAAGGGGCCAGACTTTTCCTAATAACAGTCCCAACATGCACTTGGCAGTGTTTATGTCTAGGCTGCGCTGGTCCTTTTCCTGTTCAATAAACAAAAACAAGGGTGAGCCGATGCCCCCGGATAATAAATTCCAGTAATTCAAGTTTCGTTATTATTTAATTCCAACAACAAAGTAGTAAACAGCTCATTTATCACACACCACAGCACCCTGCATGGAGACTGGGGCGGGGGGAGGGGGGTAGTCAGCCAGCGCGGCAGATCCCACCATTCTGAAGACGAGACATACTCACAGAGAGGGAGGTCCGCAGCCTAATGCAAGTCAGTTAGTTATGTGCAGAAGCAGTATCCAAAACTATTTCCCGGTATAGAAACTACCTAACTGATCGCTTGCTTGGTTGACCATTTATGATAATTATCAAAATCCTTAATTGTTCACCCCCAAACCCCTAACTTAATTAAAGGGAGCCGAAAGGTTTCGATGTCCATGTTTAGGAGTTATGCTTCCTCAATAAGAGTCACTTTTCTACCTCTTTATTTCATCAGTAAATGTTCCCCTAATCGGGCTCATGTAGCGCTCAAGAGCGTGTGGGAGCTCGGGCGAGTCTCTCTCTCCAGGTGAGGGGAGGCCCTTTCACCCCACGGTAGGAAAGTGGTGTGTCTACCTCTGCGGTCCTCCTTACCTTGCTCTTGTTACACGGGAGACCGCCTACCCAACAGCCCTCACAAGCAGACGCGTGGAAGACCCCATTTCACCCGGATACCAGCCGAGCGCGAGCACAGAGACCTGAGCCTGGGAAGATGACGCTTGCTCCCACTGTGCCTGCAGACCAGCGGCCTGCTTCTCCTGCCTGCCCTCCTTACGGCTTCCTTCGGGAACTCCACGCGGGCAGTTTCCATGGACAGGGCGCAGGGTCTTAGAGCTGTACAAAGTCCCCTCCCCCTCCCATGCTGGCTCCATGGGCGGGCCTCTGCGCTACAGCGGAAACTTGCACGCCTACTTTGCCGCGGGGAAAGTGCCGGACCATCCAGTGGGTGGAGGAACACAACAGGCCGAGGGATGAAGCCATGGCCACTGCCATGCAGCCACACAAAGTCCTGAACAATGACATGTGGCCCGGGGGTACCAACAGTGACATGCTCTTGAAGCACACAGATAATTTCCAGTCATCCGCACGCGAGCCGGAATGCGTAGGACTCACTGACACAACACAGCAAATCTGGGGTCTCACTCAACAACAGTGAACACTGTCAGTGAAGGTGTGGCAGATGGGTAGCACGTTTGTCCTTTTGTCACAGTCATAAAACGCGACAATTCAAGAACAGACCAGGCCAGCGGGCTCCACGTCACCATCTCCACCACAGAGCTCGAGGCTGACTGTGGTGGGGGTTCAGGAGCGGGAACCACAAATCCCACAGTTCTCCAGAAACACACGGGACCTTCTTCTACAGCATCATCCTGTGCTTGCCCCCTGGCCACGCACACCCCGCTGCTCAGGGCTGCAGCTTCAGCTGCCGGCAGAGATGCCCTGGGAAACCACCACTTTCCACCAATGTGTTGCCTCCCTGGCCTGTTGCTTTGCAGGGCTTGTGCTGTGCAAGCAAATAGGGATCGAACACCCCTCTTCCCTGTATCCTAAGTGTGGCAGACAGCGCAGCACACCATGAAGCATTCCAAAGGAAAAGCAAACCTCCTCTGGAGGGGAGAGAGGTGCCCGTGGCCCGCATAAGCCCTCTGCCACCCTGGGCTGACGACACTGCTACTCGCGTCCCCTCGCTGGGGCTCGTCAGCATTCACTGAGTCCCAAAGACCTGAGATCTTGCTTTGAGATGAGCTGTGCCTATGCCCCGTCACAGTGGACATACACTGGGGTGACTAAATAGATACACGGGTACAAAGGACCTACACAGACCCCGGGGCACAATATAACCCTCTGACCACTGACGATCTGAAGGATGTCAGTGCACGTGTTGGGCAGTGAAGTGCAGACCTGGAGGAGAGGCATGGGACTCACAGGGCCAGAGAGCTGAGCAGCACTCTCACGCTCTGGCTCTGCAGCAGCTCGAAATCCCTCCCACCGTCTGCCTCGGAGCAAATGAGAGAAAGGCATTATAGATGCACTCACACCGGCTGAGGCGGGGCACAAAGCCGCAAAATCACCAGCTCTTAGGATTCTGGGAGCAGCGACGCTGAGAAACATCGACAGTGTCTCAACACGGATACTCCCAGAGGGCTCCCTGACAATGACCCCAATGGCGAAGGGGACCGCACTTAAACATGAGCGGAATCTCCTAGGAGGCAGTCAGGTAATCTCTGCTCAAAGCGTGCCAAGAAGCAAGGCCAGGCTAACAGATTCCTGGGCCCTAACAATGAAATTGAAACAGGAAAGCACCCCAAGACAGCCTGTACGGGGCCACTGAGGGAGAAGGAAGGGGGAAACACCCCCTCCCCCCAAGCCCATGGCTATGCATTTCACCTGGTAAAGAATATATTTTGTTTCCCAATAGGGGCTGAGCAAGTTCTATAATACAAAGATGCACACGTCTCCCAAATAATAAACAACTAGAACCCACCTTACTTTATTCTCCTTCTTAACTATAGGTGAAAATCGGCAGCTACAGAACAAGGTCAGGCTTTGAGCAACACAGCCGCCCAACCAAAAGCTCCCTCCCCAGATAGCCTTAAGAAGGTCTATTTTGTATACAGCAGAAACGCATTCCCTAAGCTCAAGACTAACGAAGTAGTAGGCAGTCAGGAAGAGGAAAGCCATTGGAGTTAGGTCTGATTCCGAATCCTAATATAAGAATAAACTTTACGCAAGTCTGTTCCCGGCTAGGTCTTCCCGTAAGACACCAACAGTCAATACCTTTCCCTCAAGTGACAGCCCGACAACGTATGAAACGACAAATGGAACAAAACAACGGGTCGTTAACCAACATGGACACATGGTGTGTTTTCAGCTGATGCGCAGTTTTCTGGGTCCCAGGAGTTGCATGTGAAGAGGAACCTTAAATTACTAAAACGGTAAAGAAAAAGACTTCCAACAGAGGGGAGAAGTCCCAAAGATTTTCAAGTCTAGTGGGGCCTCAAGAAACGGTGAGCAGCCATGATTCAGACATAGTAAGTGACAACCAAGACAGAGGTTGGCATGTGATGTCAAAAGGCTTACATCAAGGGCTTACAAACTAGGTCCATTGTGAGAGACCAAAAGCCAACTGCCATCGAGCTGACTCCGATACACAGGGGCCCCTACGGCAGAGCGGAGCTGCTCCTTAGGGTTTCTGTGATTTTAAGTCTTTACAGGAGCAGTCAGCTTCATCTTTCTCCCAGGACCAGCTGGGAGCTTTGAACTCCCGATCTTATGGTTGTAGCAGCCTAAGCTACCAGCACTCATCGGGATTTGCAAAAATTGGACAAAGAGAAAAATCCAGCCAGTCTGTTTCTTTTACAACTACCCAAAGGGGAAACACACACACACACACACACACACACACACACAGCTCCAAAGAATCCAAATCTTCAACCTTGTGACACACACACACACACACACATACACACAGCTCCAAAGAATCCAAATCTTCAACTTTGTGATTCAGTCCAGGCAGCTGAAAGTGTAGCAAATTGGTGTTTTGAATGGGAAATTGAAAAAACAAACAACCTCCACCACACATTAAAAAGCTAAAGGTCAGAAGACCCAAGAGTGCCATCCCCTGAGAAAAGCCCATCTGAAATAATTTATTTTGTTAAAACAGCCAGCTTTCGTTGCCAGAAAACCGTGTTCTCAAAAACAGCAAGTCAGTAAAGAAGGAGTGGGGCGTGGCCCAGGCAGCCTGAGCTCAGTGTCCTATTACACTTCCTTGAGAAAGAGGAAGAGAATTAAACATTAAGAGACAATGAACTTTGTAAATAACCACTGAGCAAGTCTGTGTGGTACTTCAATAACCAAAGATGACTATTAAAGTTAAATGGGCACCATTTCCAGGGTAACTGAATTGGGGTCGGACAAAAATATTCTTCTCCATGCCCTCAGCGGGCCTGTGTTCCTTGTCAGTTACAGTGAGGGTCTGTGGGGAAAGCAGAGAGAGGCAGGGGGTGACGGTGGGTGGGGTCATACGTGGGGGGTGGAGAGGAGAAAATTAGGCAAATACACAGGCGTCCCTCGGAGACTGTGGCTTGGTTTCAGATCACCACAATAGAGCGAGCCACCAAAGAGTTTTGGTTTCCCAATGCATGTAGAGCTGTCTATCCGACGTTCAGGCTGTCCGACAGACAGCGGCATCGGCAGCCGTTGTCAGAGAACAATTCACAGCCATCGGTGCAAGCATGAAAGAGGAGCAAAACACCGAAACAGCACTCTGAGCGGCACCTTCAGCAACCGCACCCAGAGCAGGAAAATTAACCGTCAGTGGTAGATAATAATAAATGAACTGGGAAGCAAGGCAAAGCAAAGTCAGTAAGACCAGAAGCTGGTTCTTTGAAAGAATCCACAACACTGGGAAACGACCGGCAAACCTGACCAAGGACAAGAAAGGTGCAAGTCTCAGGAGTCGGAGATGACAAGGGTGCCATCCCGAAAGAGCCACTCGCACGGACGGACACCAGCACTGCTCACACTGACAGCACGTTGCAATCAGCCCAAATGCCTGTTGGCAGAAGGCTGCATAAAGAAACCCCGGTCCAGAAACCCCAGGAATACGAAACCCTCCTAGCGTGGACTGAGCTGGAGAACACAAGGCTGCGTGTAGTCAGTCAAGCCTCAAGAAGCGAATCTTGTGAGACCACGCACGAAGACTCGCACACCAAAAGGAAGGGACTTTGGAGCGTCCCACGGAAGGGATGGCGCGTCAGGGTGGGAAGGTGAAGCAAGGGGTCGACGACGGAGCTGCCCTGGGTGAATGGGGGGACAGAGGTCACGAGAAGGAAGAGAACTCAGTGAGAGGGCGTGGGGTAGGAGGAGGGCGGTGGATTTGATGGGTGGTTTTAATTGTTGTGGGCACACCCGATGGTATGAAATGTAAATCCCTCATCTACTTCACAATAAAAAATTCATTCATTAAAAGACTGTGTAATGGTCTCATGAGAATTTGAAATACTTAACTGCCCAAATGTAACAGGGACACAAAGTGATCACGTGCTGGTAGAAAAAAGGCACCATTGACTTCCTCAATGCAGAGTTGCCACAAAACGCCCTTCAAATGTAAGGCAGTATAGCGTGCAGGCACGTGAAAAGAAAAAAAATTGCTATATAATCGTGGAAATCTTTATGAAACAAAAATACCCAAATGTGAAGCTATTGTTTCAGGACATCACCTTCACTTGGGTCTCTATCCTTAACAGCTTTCCACGAGGAATTCTGCACCTTCTGGCTTACACCACGTTAACACAGGCACTGGGGCATCTTGTGCCTTGGGACTGTTCTTTGAACTTGAGGAAAGTACAGAGCTGAGAGGGCATTTTCATGGCTGTATAGTGGATGGAGTAGTTTCCAACAACTTCCGTGCATCCGTTGTTACCTTGAAGAATGACCAAGTGTGTTGTGATGGACCAAACACTTCAACACAAATTTTCTGGTCTTTTCTTTCACCAGTGCAGTGGTTCAACGTTCTGTCAAATTTCTTCATAAAAAGCCCTCTTGATCATCCTGCATTATTTAACAAAATCTATCAAGAGCACGCCCTCCGGAACCTCACAAATGCTTCTGAATGGATTTCTCTGCCTTGAATTGGCCGGCCCAGCAGATCCTCTGAGAAGCCACGGATTTGATTGGCTCTTATTTGGAAGGCGCCCTGATGAGACTAAGCTAAGACTGAGAGAGCCTGTCTGCAGGCTCTCCCTGACCACAGAACCGTGTTCAGACACGTTGTGTTTTGCATAAACGCGTGCAAGCTGTGAACCAGAACTCGAGTAGCCAATCCCGAGTCACCTAGAATCTGAGAAGTGGGATGACACGAGAAGCCTGCGCTGGTAACAACGGAAGAAACTTAGTCAAGTTAGAAATGAATCCAAATGGGAACAGATTTAGGTTAGATGTCGAGAAATTCTGTAGTAGGGGTTGCTGAGCACAAAACCCTCAAAGCCCACTGCGATCGAGTTGATTCCAACTCACGGTACCCCCTTCCAGGACAGGTAGAACTGCTCCTGAGGGTGTGAGACTGTGAGTCTTTATGGGGCAATTAAAAGAGAGGTGAAAGAAAGCTAGGGAAATAAAAAATGAACACGGCATCAGTGACTTGTGGGGCAACACCAAGCTGGCTAACAGCTATTACGGAGCCAGAAGGGAAAACGGAGGGGCCTAGAAAATGTGTTTGATAAAGTGGTCACTGAAGATATCCCCCAATTCAACAAAAAACTATGAACTTACAAATACCCAAAGCTCAATAAACTTCAAGCAAAATAAACGTAAGCAGAATTATGTTAAGGTACATCATAAGCCACTTGCTGGAAAATGGAATAAAAGCAGTCTGAAAACAGACATTGTCTTGAAAGAAAACAAGGTAAAAGTATGACATCAGACTTATTGTCAAAAACTACACAACAGAGTCGGCAAGGAGAGACATCACTGACAATACTAAATGAGCCAACTGTCAGTCCATACTTGTCTGCCCAGAGAACTATCTTTCTACGTTAAAAGCAGAACGAAAGCATAGAGAAGTTATCTCTAGTAGGTCTGCATGATGGTCAGGAATTTTTTTTTTAGGCAAAAGAACATGAGACGACATGGAAAGTAGAATCTATGCAAAGCAATAAATAATTTTTTTTAATGACAAAATAATTGGGCAAATATAAAAGATATGTTTCAATTTCCTTGAAATTTTAAGATTTTGTGTAAATAATGACAACAATCCGTTGAGAGATTTGTAGCATCAACAGGTTTTCTAAGACGGAGCTACATGCTATGAACAAAAGAGCTACTTTACATATAACGACACATACAGGTTACAAGCAAAAAGATGGAAAACGATACCATGCAGACTTTAGTTAAAGAAAGGGTGAAGTGGCTCTATTTTCTGTCCAACAATGTTATCAGGGGTAGAGACAGACATTCCAATACTAAATGTGTACCAACACTGTTGGAGCTTCCAAGCACATGAAGCAAAACCTGAAAGTCGTCATGGGAAAAATAACTACAGTTGGAGAGTTGGGCCCTCCTCTCAGTAATGGATAGAACATCATTATGGGTGTAGAGAAAGCAATGAGGAAAGAGAAGTCTCCATAAACAAGGGCAGAATATTCATTCTTGTTAGGGGTAGTTTTAACCAGAATCACAGCAGACTGACTGCATTCTAGACCATTATTCTCCATAAACTTAAGGAGACTGAAGTGATAGAAAACAGAATTAGTTATCAGTAATAGACATGTATTTGCCAAATTTGCAAATACTCAGAAAATAAACAGCACACGTTTTAAAATGGGTACATGTGTTGGTTTATTTATTGTGAATAAATATATATATATAAAACACTTTCCATCGTAATACCTTACACAAGTACAGATGTGCTGCTAGGTGATATTAATTACACTCATCGTGTTGTTCAACCATAACCAAGGGGTAAAAATACAAGGAAATTACAAAGGCTACTAGAAAATATTCTGAACTAAATGCAAATAAAAAATACATTACCAAAGCTCAGCTGACTTGAATCTAGTTGGTAATTATGTAATGATTAAATATGGTGGATGCTATCCATCACGGCAGAAGAGCAATTCACTTGTCAATATTTACTGAGACCCTCCATTAATATAATTAAGGGCTGTATCTAAAACCAAAGCCAGGAAGGGAGAGATGTCAGAGCTATCTAAATGAAGGCCGCAAGATCCCTCTCAGGCAGGACGATCCCAGGCAGCTGGCCTGGGCTAGAAGCACTGGAGGGAGCTGTAGGCACGGGAAAAGGGTTGTAGGAAGGGACCCAGCCAGACCACAGGCAGAAAGGCCAAAAGAGGGCTGGCGGCAAGTTCAGGGACACCATAGCTACTCTGGTCTCGTCACAACATGGAAGGCAGGAGGAGGAGGAAGGGGAGTGACTTGCAGACTGGCCTTGGCGTCAGTAGACTTGGGTTGCGTCCTGGATCTACTCAACAGCAGAAACGACCATGGCCAGATTTGTCCGTTCTTCCGAGATCCATTTTCTTCCCTCATCAGGGGAAGCAACCGCACTGCACACAGACGGAGCCCTGTGTTCCTCTGACAGCAACGGGACGCGACGAGGGCGATGGGGAGCAGAGCGGAGGGCCGGGGCTGGGGGAAGGCGAGCGTGGGCTGAGAAGGGAAAGCCTGTGGGAGAGGAGCTACCGTGGGCGTGCGGGGGCTCAGCCAGTGCACACGAGCCCCAGGAGACGGGCGGAGACGGAGCAAGGATGGAAGCAAAGCCAGGAGGAGGAGAAGCACACCCAGTAGGGAGCAGGGGTACCTGGGAGAATCCTGAACCCCCACAGGGGGCGGTGGAGTGGGAAAATCAAGGCTGCTTTTGGTACAAGTGGGACAGTGCTTCTAAACCAATGTCCTTTGCGCTGGACGACACCAGCTGGCCATAGGAGAAAGCACTGGCAGGCAACCTTTCGTGGTAGGAACAATACGCTTATCCACAAGCACCTGTCAAGTCACTTCTGCTACCATCACAGCCAGGCCCAGGAGTCCCACGCTGCACCAGCACCTTGGTGTTTTTTTTATATTAAAAGGTTGCAATGGCTAAACCAGCGAGGCAGGCAACCTGAGAACGGCCAATGTTCCCACAGGGCAGGATTCCTCACCCAACAGACCTCTGGGGCTGTGCCCCAAAGGAGGGGAGGGAGATCAGGATAAGAGAAAAAAAGAACTGAATCATGTGTCGCCTCACCCTCGTCTTTAAAAAAAAAAATCATTAAAAACTGCATTCCACAGAGAAAGCCCAGTCTCTGGACAACCAGACTAGCAAACAGACCGAAAACACTGTTGGTGAAATAAGGACAATAGCATGGGCCGTGGCTCGTGTGCGGCTAACTGCAATGCCGATGGCTGGTCTGATCGCCCTACATCTGCTGACCAGGCTGAAAAGTCGTCTGTATTCCGCGCCAGTAGAACCACTCTCACGCACTTGGACCTAGCTCACTCAGACAAACAGGAGGACCACATTTCAAATGATGATTAGAGAAATACGACTGGGTAATATTAACTGCCATTTGGTTTTCGTTTGAAATTCAGATGGTTTCCCAAAAGGGCACAGACTAACACTCGATGTGAAACTCGATGAGTAGGGCTGGCTGGTTCCAGGAAGCTCCCAGGCACAGGCTTATTGCTCTGTGGGCTCTGAGCAGGAAAGGCCTTCCCGAGCATAACACAGACATTTACTCAGGACAGGATGGAATGCCCAGGTGTAAGGGGCTTTTAAGCCAATCACAAGAGCTTTTAGAGCCTGTCTGCCACTACAGCTTTTTGGCTACCATACTGAATTGATGCCCAGAATCGGGGTTAGTTTAAAAGTGCACACGAAGGCTAACCTCTAACTAGCACCCGGGCACAAAGGCCTCGCTCCCCTGGCTGTGGCAGGTGCAAACCAAGCTCAAAAGGCAGTGAGGAGGAGGGAGGGGGAGAGGGGAACATCTGGATAGGCTCCAGAGAACTCACCCGTGCAAAGTCAAACGCATATCTGTAAATAAGTTTAAAGTTTGTAGACTCATTTAATAATGATCTTAAGTAATCCAAAGTATTTCTTAGTTTTTCTGTTGTATCACATCTAGAAAAACAGAATAAAGGCAAATTATAACCTGAGCTTTTTCTTCATTGGGGCAGTAACATATAAGACACAATAGCAAAAGGAGAGACTAAAAACTCTAAAATCAGAACATATCCATGCTAACCTGGTTTTCGGTGCTTTAAACAAAAATTTTATATACCCTTTAATATATAATAAATATGTAATAATACATTTTTTCAAATGTACAGAAGAGTGGAGATAGCAGGTAAGCATCCAGGCACTCGCCCCCTCGCGTTACCGACGAACATGCTGTGCCGTGCCGTCTGCGGGGAGCGACCTCACCAGGAGGTGTCCCATCTCTGAACTGTTTGAAAGCGGCAGACAGTAAGACACTTCAACACCTCCTAGGCACAGTGGCATTCTCCTACCGAATCAAATGCCACCACTGCTCTGAAGGCGTCCTACTACCAACTTTCAGACCTAATGTGCAGTCCAGATGCAAACTTCCCAATCTCCCCCAAATGCCTTGTCAAGTCCGTTCTTTCCACTCCAGGATGCAGCCCTGGAGCATGCCTGGCTGCCTCCTCTCATCACAGGCTCCCATCGTTTCCCTGTCTGACAGAGACTTCAGCAGCCCATTTCGCGGACGGTACAGGATCGGGCAGTGCTGTGTCAACAGGACTGCTAGTCGGAACCGACTGGACGGCACCATCACCACCTCCGCGTTTAGTTCTATCGGCTGGAGAGTCTACCCTGCCTTCGGTGATATCATGTTGGGTTATTGTTTGCGTTATTGGTTCACAGCTAGTATTCACCAGATTGTCCGTTTTGAAAGTGTCTTTTCAGCCTTTGGCGAAATAAGCAAGCTGTGAAACGGTGACTGGGCTGCTCCTCACTCACCATCCATACCCAGCCATGTTGGCCTCCACTGCCCACCTGTGGGAGGTGCAAAACGACAATGTCCTGAGCTCATCACCCGTCTCGACACTGACTCTCTGTCAGGAGTCTGCCCAGCCCCCCTTTGTATTTTTGGATGTATGGGTTTGGGTCTCCTCTGTTACTCTCTTTGTCCACTTGGACGTACACACAGCCCCAGCTTGGGCAGCACATCCTTCACGCTGGCAGCACGTGCTCTGACACGCGCCCATCTGTGAGCAGGCCCTAGCTTTCTGGAATAACATGTCCCTGCTCACTTTGTCCTTGCCCTGCCCCAGATTTAAGACCAGCCATTTCCAGGGAGCTATGGTGATACTAACCTATTTTTAATGGTGGCCCACTGTGTACTTTTCATAAGGAAACAAAGACTAACTGGTTATCTTTACATGTTAGTTTTCTGTTTGTAAAATCTAGCCCTTAAAAAGATTAAGAAGAAGAGCCATCATTTTACCAGCAATACAAAAAACTTTCGATGCTGGATATGTGTCCTGTTACTGAAGGGCTTCACCTCCTACTAAGTAGAGATAATGCATACCGTAAGTATTAGCAAATTAAATATTTTACCATCTTTACAAACTAAAATGTGGTTCATAATAAAGTATACCGACTTGTTTTCAGCAAAAAGTTGTGACCGGTCCTTGGTTTGTAGCTCATGACAAATATAGTCCCTGTGATCTTTCTCCCAAGACGAGAAACCATCTAAAAGCCAAGAGTTATGAGCAAATGCTTAATTTCTATGGGTTCAGGAAAATTTAGAATGCTCTTTACTTCCTGAGGTTGGATAACTTAAAAAAGATAAATTGGAAAAGGTTTCTTCAAGGGATGGACCATGTCAGTTGAGAAATGAAAGGGAGGCATAAACTACAAGATCGCTGGGAACGAGCAAGGGCCGACCAGACTTAAGCAGCAGCAGTGCCAAGGCCCAGTGGCAGAAGGGCACAGAGCCCAGTGCAAGGGCTAAATGAAAGCCACTGGACTGAGACCCACCCAGAGGAAAACAGGTGCAGGATGCGGCTGAGAGGGAGCTGGCTCTGTGGTCCACAGTGAGTGACTTTAAAAACCGAATCCTAGAAATACTGGAAGCTTGCTTCCCAGTGTGGGAGACAGGGAGAGAATGGGAATGACCAGACTCGCATGTTGAACAGCTCTCTCCCCAGCTCTCTGCGAAGAAGAGCTTAGGAAAGGGAAGGAAGAGATACTCCTAGTCCAGCTAGAGATCCTGTGCCTAAAGCCAAACCAGGGGTTCTGGAGGCCCACCAGGCAAGCCACGAAGTGGGAACAGCAAGTCTCTGGGAGGCATGAATGGGGGAGTGGGGCTCTAGTGTATGTTTGGTTTTTAAATTGTGTGTGTATAATAAAAAGAATGATGATGGCAGAGAGCCAAAGAGGAGGGAAACCAGCTCATCGCACGAGCTACGAAGCTGGTCCCTGCTCTGTCTTCTCCCCTGGATAGGAAAGGTCAAGACCAAAGCCACAAGACATTTTCTCGGTTTGGGCGTATGAGTCTTTGGGTAGAGCGGCCAGGCCAAATGGGAAGTCCAGAATGAGTACAGCCACCCTGGTCAAACCACGGCCGAGGGACTGAGACGCCAAGAAAGCTTGCCCAGGGTGTAGAAAACCATCTGCTCTGTTATTCCCAGGATAAAACGCACAAGGTAGTATTCACTGCATGTGTCTATTAAAGAGATTACCAAAGGTTAAGCTAGCTTACGGGGGCTACAAAAAGTGCCTATCACTGGTGGGGTGGTCTAATGAGTTATGAATTGGGCTCAGCACAAGGTTAATGGTTCAAACCCATCAGCTGCTCCTTGGGAGAACAATCAGGCTTTCGGGTCCAGCGAACCCACAGGGTCTTGGAAAGCCCGAGGGGCAGTTCTGTCCTGTCCTGCAGGACGGTCATGATTTGGAATGGGCTCAGGGGCACTGAGTTTGGTTTCAAGAGTTTATGGAAAAGTTCCACTATTTAAAAATTCCCTTTTCCCAGGAACTCTTCAAAGTCCCCTCATATCACTGATGACAAGTTTCATCTGCTTTGATTGGAACTTCCCCCACAGGTCTCCGGACCAACCCCCATTAGGGAAAGAGGCTGGGTCACCAGGTCCAGAGGAGCCATAGACTGCCATCTAGTGGCCTTTCACTCATCTCACTGCTGAGTAGAGTCTGACTCACAGCAACCATGCAGCACGGAGCTGAAGCGCCCCTGGGGGTTTCCGAGACCGTACCTCTTTACAGGGGTAGAAAGCCTCATCTTTCCCCCAGGACGTCTGCGGAGCTTCCTTAGCAGAGGGCCTGTGAAGAAGCAGGCTTGGCAAGTTCAAGCCAGCAACTGAAGTCACGTCACAAAGTAGCCACATCATAAACACAAGTTTCCCCTATGCATGTCTCCAGGGCACGTACAGTGACACTCTCAGAAGCCACCAAGCCTCAGGGCCACACCTCTGGGGAGCACCATTATCGTTTCCCAGAACAAACACGAAATGTGGAGTCATCTGTGTGACCTGTGCTGCTGGGACAGATTTAGAAGCAGAGAAATGAGGACACGAGTATCCCCAGAGGTTATAAAACCTGACCCCTAAACATGAGGCAAAGTCAATTTCCTGTTAGAGATTTTACATCAAACGTTCCCATCTTGCTGCCTTTGGGGCCTGTGGAACTGCCTTTATGTAATTTCCACACAGCGGCAGTAGCCAGGGGTTGCTTTTGCCTGTCTGTGGAGGGGCGCCAGACGAGGAGTGCGGCCCACCGGTAGGGAAGGCCTCGCTCGCCCTCTGTCAGCCAGCCCAGTCCCTTCTCCAGTCTGTCGTGTGTGTTGATTAGGAAGGCGCTTTGAAGCTGCAGGATGGGGGTTCCCTACCGGCCCCTCCCATTTCTCCCCAAAGTCCTATGAAACAGCGCTCAGGACTGTGCACCCAGTCCCTCCCAGTGCCATCAAGGAGCTGGGTGGGCTCCCCAGTGCCTGGTGAGAGCCACATCCCATCACTTAAGAGTCTGGAGGCAGTTTGAGAGGGGGTGGGGTGGAGTAAGACTCAGTCAAAACCCTCTCTGGTCCCCAAACACACTGATTTCCATTTCTACCACACTCCCACTGTAATGATTTTTTCTTCTTAAATGCAGCATTTTGACTAAATCTATATAAACACAGATTTTGCCATTTAATGTTGACTCCGATTTGAGGACAAGTCATTTCATCAGGCAGGTTTAATAAAACTACGAATGTGGGGTGGGGAATTAAATTCCTGAATAGGATTAGCAGGTACTATAAAAGAGGGACTGCTCATCTTCAGCGCCTGTGTAAGAGGCCTTCAAAAAGTTGGTGGAAAAATTCAATGATAAGATAATGGGATCTTTTCCATGAACTTTTTAAAGTCCCCGTGTAGGCTCAAGTAGAAAGAAAATGTTTTGAGAATGATGGCAACATATGTACAAATGTGCTTGACACAATGGATGTATGGATTGTGTTAAGAGTTGTACGATCCTCCAATAAAATGATTTTAAAAATACATAAAGTCTCCTTGTAAATAATTCTGAAGTTTCTTACTTAGAGGGTGTACAAATACAGTACTTATTTATGATGAGTTGATTTTAGTTCATTTACACAGCATGAACAGAAAGGTCTTAGGACTTTTAGATCTTTCATCTGAACATTTTTCCCAAGGGCCTGCCCTTCATGCACTTGACCATGGTCACAGCATCTGTACTCCCAGACCTCGAGTGGCTGGGTTTAGGGCACTGGTTTATGGAACCAGTTACGAGTCGAGGGAGGCTTGGGGCTTGGAAGGGCTGAGAGCTTGGAGGACCGCTGTCAACGACAGAAGGCTCTTCAAGATGGTTAACTTTACCTCACTGATGAGGAAAACAATCTCCGGATTTCATGGCACAAAAAATTAACGACCGAGTAGCAGCCAGCGTTTTACAGGACTCTACCTGCCGCTGCCCAAGTCTTGCCAAGTGGCAGGCAGAGTTAGTTCCCAGCCATGAGCCCGCCAC